TGGTCTTAAAATTTTATTTCAAGTGGCATTAAAAAGTTTTAAAAAGTATTGAATTTAACTTGCCTTATGCTGTAGGAACCCTGTCACAAGTTTTATAGATTTTGTAACACAGGGACACCTCTTAAAGATCAGAGCCATTAACGTTTTATCCAGAAAAAGATATTTTTCATAATGCCGCCTTGCTAATGTTTTCAAAGCTTCAAAGATTTATTGTCTTACTGGATTTCCTGTAGCTGTCCAGAGTGGACCCAGCCTCCTGCCCGTTGACAGCTGGAGATATATGTACCAGCACTCCTCAGGGCCCCAGTCCTGATAAGCATGACAGAAAATGGAGGGAAGGATGGATTTGTCTAACTTGCACTAAAGTATTACTGTATGCATTGAAATTGACTGGAAATGTTTGGCGGTTTAAATATTTCAAAACTTATCAAACGCATTCAACTATACTTCCAAATGTAGATCAATGTGGCAGTAACTGGGTGAGAGAAGGGGTGTGGCCTCAACATTGAGACACAGTGGACAACAACCATGAAGCATACTTGAAGCTCATTTAATATGTCAACCCCTTCTGTACCAACATATTTCAGCAAAGCAACCTATCCATCAAAACTGTTCAAACTCCTCACAGAAAACCCTTGAACAAAGGACATCCTTGCTTAGAGGCATTGGTATTGTTCCTCAGTGTTTGATTTGCAAGAACAGCATATTGAATTTGCTTTTTCTCTAATTATTTGTGAAACTAAGTGGAATGTGTCTTTTGTTTCAGACCATACCAGTGGCTCAAGCATCAACGTCTCTTCCTCAGATGGAGCTCCCTGACACAGGGCTGGCTTACCCCTTATGGGCACAGCCTCTCACCGCCATATCTGCCATGCCCAATCCAGGAGTCCAGTTTGCCCCAGGTTCTGCAGCTCTGCCTGGATCCCCTTTGGTCCATATGCCTTTACCCATGTCTTTGACCACCATGATCCCTCAGCCAGAGACCCAGGAGGTGGATCCTCACCCTCAGATTTTGGACATCCCAGAGCACTCACAGCATGATCTGGACCAAGAACCCCAAGATCACTCTCTGCATGAGGATCCTGAAGTGGAACCAGAATCCCCTAACTTGCTGGATAAGCTTCTGGAGGATCAGAAGGAGCATACTGAAGAAGGAGACAAAGATTCGTACTCCAGCTCTCTGTTCTTGCCTAATGTCTAAAGATACAACTGTTCAATCCTGTGAAACCAAAATTATGTCATTTTTTTTTTATTTCCATATTTGGTCAAGTGATAAATGAGTTTTTGCATCCTATTAATATTTGCAACAGTAAAAATAGCATATGTCAAAATAGTTTATTGTTAATTGCTGTAGTTGTGGCTGTTTTTAACAAGATCATGTCAAACATTGAAACATCCCACAATTGTCTAGATGTCTGTTTGCAAAATGTTTATCTAATGTATAAGTGTGATGTAAGAGAAGAATGAATTTCAATTTTTTTTAAATATATTTTTTAAATGAAAATCTGGCATAGTAATGTGAATTTATATTCGGCCCCCTTTACATTTATATCCAGTGGCCAATAGAGTGAGCTATGACGCCGCCCCACCCACCTCATTACCTTCAGTAAGACATCAAAAAAAGCAAAAATTAACATTTTATCTTAAAATTGTCATGATTTTATTCAAAGATCTGACCCACATGCAGAAAACCAAACAGAGAGACAAGGGGAAGTTTTAACAAGTTTATTGAGAACTGGTAGAGATGGGTCCAGTGCTGGTCTGAACACTGGTGAACCGGGACTGAAAAGTGAAGGGGAAGTTCCTGTGGTTAGTTCAGGCTAAGTGGGAAATTTGAGCTTAGATTTGCAAAAGGGAATAAAGGCAACAGGACTCACGTTTCCAGAAAAGGTGTCTTTCTCTGAATCCAGTCGGTGTGGGTTGTTCCAATAATTGAGTTGCTCGTTGGAGGGCGGACAGTTTTTACCCAGGTTGAGGTGTTTCCTTGAGGAACGGAGGAGCTGACTGCCACTTAGATTTCCTATGGTACTTGATTTGTTTCTTGTGGAGATGAATCCACTGCTCAGTTGGAAGCTCAAACTATCCTTTAGGGAAAAGTAGATCCAAACTTTCTGTTTGAATCCCCAGCTCAGTTTGAAGCTCAGACGATCCTTCCAGGGGGAGAAGGTCCAAAACATCCAGTTTGCAGGATGACTTCCTGCCGAGAGGCAAAGACAAAAAACAACGAGGTTAAGACTCAGGTTGACAAAAACTCAGTTTGACTCAGCAAAAATCTGCTTGGCTAGAGTACTCAAAACTGGCAAACACTCTGGCGTCGAGGTAGTGGCAGTCAGCAGCTTAAGAGTCCTCAGGTAATGAGGCAACCATCCACAGGTGTGTGAGAGGGCCAACGAGAACCAGGCGCCACCTGGTGGTGGATGAAGAACACACAAAAACACAACCCACACAAACTGGATTCCTTACAAAAACTTAAATATTTTGAAAAATATTGATATAGATTTGCAAAATAAATATTTCATCTTAAATACTAAATAAAGCTGTTTTCATTTGTCGTCAGATTGGTAAAGCGTTTCTTCCCTAGGGCACAAAAATCTTTGCACATTGACTCTCGTTTAAAGTTGTACATGCGCAGTAGCTCCTCTGCAATACAGAAGTATAGGACTATAGGTGGCAGAGACTGTCATCACAGTCGTAGTGGACGTATATAATGTTCATGGTAGTGTCACTGATTAACAGTTTAAAGTAGTCATAGTAGAAGTGAAATCCCTTAAAGCAAATTTACCAAAAGAAGGCGGTGTTGAAAGCGTTTGGACCTGATCAGATGAACATCAAATTAATCAGCAGTCCAAAGGCAGATGGAGACTGTACACTTAGTCTTTTTCCGGGAACTGGTTTAGCTACAAGGCTTGGCTAACTGCCTGCAGCGAGGCTAATGCTTTAAGCCGGGTGTATACTGTGCGATTTTTTTCACTTATTGCACACAGCTACTGCTCACACTGTACGTCTAACCGCAGGGTTTAGTCGTATAGCGTGAGTTCACAGCACGATATATATTAGGCCCGACACTCTGATGCGGTCTACCTGTTCACACTGCAAGACTAAAAACCACGTCGGACTCAGCCCGGCAGTGGGATGGCGCTACTCTGACTCGTCAATCCAGAAGCCAAACAAGTAGAAGGGGAATATTAAGCTCACTATAGTGAACTGTGCTGCCACAATTTGTGCAATTTTGTGCTGAACGTCCTAAAAAGAAAAGGCGACGACGTATTTGGAAAAAAGGACATTGCTGAGCAAACGTGGCTACTACTGTCTGTCAGTTTTACAGACAGAACTGCATTTCACTCATTGCACCCCCGCCATGCTTCTGTGTTTACATCTGAGAGGGGGAATA